AGACATTCCATGCACCCCAGCATCACAATGTTCATGAGCTGCCTGGTACCTCGAGGTATGTAGAAAAAACATTTAAAGCTGTGTCTATCTCCGAATCACTAGCCTTTCAGTTACAAAAGATATCTTACTTTATTAGAGATGATGATGATGAAATATAACCAGGACTTGAAGAAGCAAAAACTTACAAACTGATAACAAAATCACTGCAGCGTGGACAGTCCTATTTGTAGCAGAACTTATTCTAATTAGCAAAACTGAGGGGTTGCTGGAAAATTGTGTCATGTATCTGGAAAAATCATGTTTTTATCATCTCTAAGCCCCAATTTTAAGACTGTAAGTCTTGAATAATACTACTGAAGCTAATGAAATTACTGTAAATTTGTAGTAGCATACTTGAGCATCTGGATCCTAATGTTTTGTATCCTTTGGCTTTCAGCAAAAGACTATATTTCCCAGCACATCCTCTGCTCAACCCTCAAACCCTTTCTTTTCTCATACCTAATTCCATCAAGCACATACCACCATCACACAACAAGCCTATTTCAGGTTGCTCCTCTCTCAAAAAAGGAGAAAGCATCCATCAGAGAAATCCCAACCACCAGGTAAGCAGAATTCTAACAACCAGGTAAGCAGTGTCTCACTAAAATATAACACAAAATGTGTATTGCTACATATACAGAACAATAGGCAACTTGCCAAGCAAGACAGCCACAAAGAACCTGCAGCCTAATCAAGGATAATTGGAATGTCTACTATAAAAGCTATTCCTGTGATTTGTGTCCTAAAAAAAAATCTGTTTAACTGGAACTGCCATTTCTCTCTGCTTAAGGCATTTCACTAGCTCTAGAAATGGGCGTATCTTAAACCCCCTACCCAATGGGCTCTTTGGCTTGGGTGGACATTTGACTTGACTCAGCCTGGGTAAGGTGAGAATATTCTGGTTTTAATTATTATTGTTTCCTCCCTATTGTTTTGTAGACAGTGAAGTAGCCATTAGCAAAGATTAAATTCATTACTATACTTCAATAAGGTAAGAGAGGCAAATTGTATCGTAACATAAAGCACATATGCCAGAGGCCCTGTGGGGGAGTGGGATTCATTTTCTCATAACCAGGGAACACAGATGTAATTGCTAGCTGAACCAGACTGCATTACTTACATAATCCTTCCCTCTCTCTTGAGCCTAGGGAATTGCAGAGTTCAAAGATTATTTGAATCTAAATATTTTACGTTGTAATGCAAGCTAACACAGCAACACTAGCTAAATGGACTGGCACAGGATATTTGTGTGTGCATACCTGTATGTGGGTTTGTACACACCAAAATATATTTAAAGTGCAGGTGAGCACTTGTTCTGAGTCATAATCTTCCATTAGCCTTAAGTCCATTTATTCCAGTGGTGCTCAGCCTACAACCCTTGGGCCAGATCTGGTCCCTGCAGTAACTGCATCTGGCCTGCAGTCTGGGAGATCAGCAGTAAGCGGCTCAGCCTGGGCATTTCCCTTCCTGTTCTGTACCATAGTGCTGATCCCCTCCACACGCAGAGGTAAGCTTTCTTCCTTTTTCTCTCCCCTTCTTCTGAAATTAACAGCCACCTCACTCCTTCCTCCCCTACCAGAGAAGAGGGATAGCTTGCAGTGCAGCCAGGTTGCAAGCACTCAGATCCCCACTCTAAAAGGCTGAGCTCCACTGGTCTAGTCTATGCTGCTTTTCCAGACTTTTGCTTGGTTGATTGATCTGTTAGCCCTGAGGTGCAAGTACTATTCCCCCTGAGGGAAGAAGGTTTACATATTCATTGTTTGAAACTATACTATACTAGCAACACAGTTTCATATTGTAGAATAAATGGAGGAAAAAAATTCCTGTCTCAGTCACCCAGCTCACAAACGTGCACCTAGTTATATGATAATACATGCTTTGTCTAGCATTCCGAAACATGTCACTGGACTCTTAGTGGGATGTGGACTGGCAGCCCATGACTCCTATACAGCTAGGACTGACTCCTACTCCATTCCAGGGCTGGCCTTAGGGGAAATGGCACCCTGGGAGAACTTGTATTTTCGTGCCTTCCTCCCCACCCCCTAGTCAGCAGCACTGTTGCAGGCAAAGGCAGGCAGGCAGGGGCACAAGGCATGAGATGTGGAGCAATATGGTATACCAGGTAGGTGGGTGGGAAGTAGGCAGGCACTGTTGCTCCTGTGTGGGAGCAAGGAAGGTGGCCTGGAGCAGGTGCCACTCTACCTATGCATGCCTGGGCTGGCTTCTCCTCAGCAGTGGTTGGAGGCAGGGAGCAGGCTGGGCTGGGCACCACTCCTCCTGCCTGAGGTGGGGATTGGCTACGGCAGGGTGGGGTGGGGCAGCAGGAGAGCTCTGCTGTAAGCATGGGTTGCTTATGTGTGTCTGTGCATGAGTTTGGCACCCTCCTGACCATGGTGCCCTGGGTGGTTGCCCACGTCACAGACCCCTAAGGCTGGCTCTGCTCCATTCCTCCTAATACGTTCCTAAGAATATCACTTCATTCTTACTGAAGTGTTGGTGACCCTTGTTGAGTTTACTAGTGTTCTTCCCAAACCTGAGGCATGTGTGTCCTGTTGCTCTAAACCTAGTACATTGCATTTACAGCAATGCAAAGTGGTGCAAAAATTCTGTACACTCATTTTGCATTAGCATAGGTAAAGGTGCTGGACCAAGGTGAATCAAGCCCTGGGGTCTCTGAAAAGCAGTAAATGGTTATACAACAGCTGAATCAGATTGTGTCTGTGTGCCCTGTGTACAGCACAGTTCATCTCTGCGATACCTTCCTAAGCAACATTTTTTTAAAAAGTAGAAAAGAGAAGAGAAGACTGAGGGGGATCTGATATAGTATTCAAATACCTGCAAGGTGATTATAGAGAGGATGCAAATAGACTATTCTTTGTGGCCACAGGGGACAGGACTAGGAACAATGGTCTCAACATGCAGCAGAGGAAATTAGAGATTAGGAGGAACTTTCTGACGATAAGGGTGGTCAAGCAATGAACCAAGCTACCTAGAGAAACTGTAGAATCTCTATCCCTGGAATTTTTCAAGAGCAGTTTAGACAAATCCTTGGCTTGGATGGTTTAGTCAGGGTTGATCTTGCCCTGAGCAGGGGTCTAGACTAGACAGTAGTGTAACTTGGGGTGGGTAACTGGGGCATAATAGAGACACAAGCTTTGCACCCCCACCACTGCCGAAACCACCCTATGGCAGCAGAAGCAGCCCTATAGCTTTGCTTTTGTAGCAGCATCCAAGTATACAGACACCACACTGTAGGAGAAACAGCCCAAGAAGGCAAACCATGCTGTGGCTGTGGTGGCAGCAATTATTGTTATAGAGCAAGAACAGGGCAGAATGTAAGGTTGTCTGTCTATACTCCTCCTTTTTGAGGTCTGGTCATGTTTAACATGAGCCAGACTTCCAAAGTGGCACTTATCAGTTGATCAATGATGACTTTAATTGATGAACTATGCAGCAAATAGTTTCCCCTAGCTTAAGGATGTCAGTGTGTATTACATTATATTTCCACATATCCTTTCTGTCTCCAAATGTTACCGTTTTATTTTACTTCAGTCCCACAATCTGTTTGCACCATGACAGTCAACTCTTCTACCTATTACCTCTCAGTCTCTTCCTGAACTCCGCATTTCTAATCTAGTCTTCCACTAAGTGTCCTTCTAAAATCTCCTATGCACTATGTTCCTCTCTTAACCCAAGTTTCTGTTCTGCAGTTCATGTTTCCCTGCCTCATCACAACTCTCTTTTTTTTGTGTGATCATGTATTTCCTTCACGTTCTAAAAAATAGATGAAACTGTGTGGCTGAGATGGCATTATATAAGTCCTATCAAAATGTACAACCCCGTCATAGGCTAATTTTTCCCCTGTGATCTCTAAATGAAAAAGCATTTAAGGAACATAAGCATTTAAGGAATTAATGTTTTAATCCATTAATAAATTAAAGGCTTTCCTTTTAAAATAATGAACAAAGTGATGTTTAGAAGGCAATCATCTTTCCATCCTCATTTGTTATAAATATCTGAAATATAAACTAGCATGCATCAGGTTAATACCTTGAAACCTTAGAATGCTGTCCCTGTGTAAAGTACCTAGGGTTTGGAGACACGAGTGGCATGCAGCCAGAAATGGATAATTTAAAAAAATGTCTTCTTAACATGTTCCAGCTTGAAAGTTCCATCCATTTTGTCTGATGTTAGGATCCATAATTAAACAAAACTTGTAAGATAATTGATGTCACAAAACAAGTGACCCAAAATCTATGTTCCATAGCACTGTATCACCACAACTCTATCTGTACTAATTACAGAAAGATGCACCCTGGAACACAGTTGCATCCATCAGGTATTGCTCAGCTACTGAACATGCTTTCCTCTTTACCAGAAAAATGGCATGAGGATAGATTGGTGCCTTTTAATAACAGCTCTAAACAAGAGTGACCCTGGATACATTGGGATTCAATGATACCTCTCAGACACATGAATTCCTCTTTGATGCTTTCTTTTCCCAAAAGAGTAATAATTGTCTTCCAGCATTTAAAATCAGAGGTTAAAAACAGTCCTCATGCTGGCTCAGCTGTATTGAGTGGTCCATTCTGAGGGCAGACCAAGCTCTATCTCATTCTCCATACTACCTACTCTAACAAAGGAATAGGGAATGTGAAGAGCCTTCTAATTCTTGGCTCCCTGGGCCATTGTGAGTTGTATATGGGGTTCTCAGGCGATTCCTACAAAACTTCACAGTCCTAGCTTGCTCTTTTGGGTTGACCACTACACTCTACCGAAGAGGACCCCTGCGATAAGACTTTATGGATTGAGCAATTTCTTCATTCAACCTACCCCCTCCACCATTGTGGCCCATTATATGGGTTTGTGTGTACCTATCCTCTTTCTCTCTCAGCGTCGGGACCCACCTCCCTCCCCTTCTCTCACCCCTTCCTCTCACCCCTGGGCTTAGTTGGCTAACACTGTATTTTCTGTAACCTAGTTGTGCTCCTCTCCTCACCCCCATCCCTTCTATGTTAGTCCCTCGCTTGGGCACTCTATATTTCCCTTATGGCTTTGTCATTTTTTGGTTCATGACTCTTAACATTTACCAATAAAATTCAATCTGTTCAAAGGACAGGGGTGGTGCATAAGTAATGTGTTTTTCCTAATGTGCTTTCTAACAGCTATCAACTCCATGCTGAATTTGCTGTGAGCCTCATTAGCTGATCAATCCAGGGCTCAGCTGCCAGAATTTAGAGGCAGAGCTCCCTCTCCCCACTGCCTGCCAAAAAAAAAGGAAAAAAAGAGAAAACAGGGAGAAGATGGGATGTTTTCAGCAAACATCTTATGAGGAAGAATAGACAACAAATAGTAGATTTTAGGATGTTCAACCCCATACGTGATGTGTAGGGGGTGCATGGGGGTGCACATGCACCCCCTGAGAGTACTGGTACCCACCCCGAGAGTAAGCGCTCTCGACCTAGGCAACAGGAGGGGGAGGGCAGGTGGAGTACTGGTACCCCCCCCCGAAAAGTGCCGCTGGCACTTCCAGGTGAGCTGCTGGCACTTCTGGGCTTGGTGTCCGGCCATGGGTGGCACCCCCCCAGTCAGCGATTGGTCGCAGGGGGACCCCCCCCTCCCCGCCACCAACACGGCCACAGCCGCCTGCGGATGGTCCCTGCTTAGCCCACCCTTGGCCCGTGTCACTGCCTATGGGTGGTCACCATGCCTCCCCAGCCTCAGGAGGCACACGTCACCTTTGTTCAACCCCCATAATCAGTTGTTGACCTACAACAAAAACATGCACCAAGTGGAAAACTGGTGATCAGAAATACATTGTTATTCATTTGCCCTGTCTTCTCTGAACGATTTGTGTGTGTGTGTTGCATAATCAGGTTTGCTTTCTCTCAGAGATCCACAAGGAGCAGGAAACTAATTTCGTGTCAGATGTTTAATTGGGTCTTGGCAGTGTAGAAGGTACAATCTCTATTTACATGAGTTCCCTACCCTTCCTCTAACCAACAGCCTTGTGGAAAGATTCTGTGGTATTCTGTACAAGCCACAGTCTTTCTGGTTTACTAATGTTTTTGGTTGCCAGTCATAAGACTCAGTGATGGCTCCATGGAAGTACCAATGTTAGTGTTGCAGCATTTTTAGCTCTTGTAGGAAGAGTCCCCAAAAAAGAGAACAGGAATGTGGCATTTCTTCTTGAACTAACAACACAGAGATCCTTGATTGCATTGATGAAGCCCGCTCCCAAGAAAGGGAGGTGTGGAAGTCATATACTACTAATTTGAGAAAACCTGCAGCTTGATAGAAAAAAGCTTGGGTGAAATCCAAGGAAGTTCTTGTTCTGTCCTTTGAGTGGGCTATTAGGGTGGAGGTGTGAGCCTGTGTTCAGAGAAAGTTTCAGAGTAGGGTGACACTGAAAATACATGGGTGCTGTGTAGGAAATGCCACCTCTTTCCTTCCTCCCTCTCTTAATAAATATAATCTTGAGCGTATGACCTCTGTAACAAATAAACTAGCAAGGCAATTAACTACTCAACCTGAGGCTCAAACTGAGAACCAAAAGCTCACATGGTAGAACAATGAAAGGTACTAAAAGACAAAAGATGGATTAAGAATTTTGGACCCTAGATATAAAGCTTTATTATTCCATTTCCCCCCAAATGAGAAAGTAGATCTATAGATAGGGTGCAGCACTGACACTGTATGGGTGTTGTCTAAGCAACATTGTTTGCTTGCTTTCTCACATCTATTTATTTTTAATAACCTTGAGAGTGTCACAGGAAATAAAAGTACTAAAAGATTCATTGGAAAGAGAGAGAGAAAATTAAAAGGACCTGTTTGATTTTTATCTCACAGGATGGAGAACCTCCCTCAAACTTCTGCTTCAAGTCCATAATTTTTTTCTGAACTATAGATTGCCAAAATAGATCCAGCTTTCATGAAAAGTATATACATTGGTGAAAATTTACCTTCTTTCTTTTACTTGCTATTCAGTTGATGCTTCCAAGAGGGTCATTGATGTTTTAGTTATAGTGTTACTGCTTTCCAGGATGTAGTTCTAATTCTTATAAATACAACTTCCATTCTTTGTTCCTAGGTGTCAGATCCTTGCATTTAGTTCAATTAAAATTAGAACTGGTCAAAACTCAGAATTTCCACTGTGCAGTAAATTTTGACATTTCAAAATGTTATTTTTTTCTGAATAAAAATTTAAAAAATCTTGTGAAATGAGATTTATGAAAAACATTGTGCCAGAATTTACCCTATCAAAATCAAGCACTTCAGTGTTACCAAAATTAAACAATATGATCTTATCAAAAAGTTTTTTTCTTTTTAAAGAAAATCTTACATGACAGTTGTATATCCCTGCAAAATGTTTAATTTTGTTGCAAAATCCAAATTAAACAGAAAACATTCCATTAGAAAACTTTTGATTATATAAAATTAATGCCCAATTGTCAGTTTGTACAACTGATTTGTTCTCATCAGTATGTATCACTCCCCCAATTTCTTATTGTTCTCAAACTTTAACAATGATTTATTTTTTTCTTGCATTCATGAATAGAAGTATTGAATAGTGTTTAACTAAGAATAGATCTGAAGACTCCAGTAGAAGTGCCAGTATTCTTTAAGAACTGTCAATTTACATTGAGTACAAGCCTGACTGTCCTTTAAAATACTTTTTAATATAGTACTAACTTTTATATGTGTATCATGGAAGTTTGAATTAAACTCCTTACAAAAGTTTATATAAATTAAGTCTATACACTAGCCTTTGTTGGGAAGGGTGGCATCTACATTGTATAAATAATTTATTGGTCATATGTTGTTCGTTCTTTGTTATTTTTTTGATGAAAGTATTTTCTTTACAAGAACTATTTTCTATAAACCCACATTGAGCTGGAGATAAGAGTCCAGCAATGACTCCATTTGATGAACCATCCCCACTTGGGTGAACTGGACCCTCTCTCCATATAAAGCTGCTGCCCTAAGTGGCAGCTGAAGAGTGTTGACTATTCTGTAAGCCTAAGTAGTACCATCTTTTAATTCTTTACTAATGGTGGTAGACTACATGGCCTTTTTCCCTGGGTCATCAGATTTTAGCTTTTGTTACATTAGTACAACAATAGCTTTTTCTGTCAGTCTTTTGGAACTATCTGAATGTTCCAAGGTTTGTTATAAATCAGTATTAACTGTTCAGGATGCTCCTAAGTCAATTCTTCTAATACTCTTGGCTTCAATTTAGTCAGTCTTATAGATCAAAAAAACCTAAAGTTGATAGGTGTTGTTTAATAACCTAACCAGCTACTGTTAGACCAGAAAGTATGTCATCGCTGTTGGAATGAATACATGCTACTTCCTTTGGAATGGAGACCAGTTTGAAGTTGGAGACCAGTTTAATGTATCCTATACTACTGTGTTTTCTGGATCATGGTTCATATAACTTTATACATCCTTGTTGTTTCAGACCTATATCATTGTTAAGATTTCATTTGTTCCTGATAAAATTTTTAGAATTCCTTCTTGTCACTCCAACTGACCATGCACATTATCCCTGTCAAAACTTTTACCTTCCCTTTTTATCTGTCTGCCTTTTCCCAGTTGTTTTTCCTCATTTGTCAATTGTCCAATGCTACTTTTTCTCCATTAATTAAACACAGCATCTTTCACATCCTTTCTTCTCCATATAGAAACCATCCTGGCTAAAGTCAGGGGCAGATTGAGGGGTGTGTGTGTATGGAAAGCAGCGGTGCAATTGCACCCACTTTGGATTCCTGCTCCATGCAAATTTGAAAATCTGCCTCAGAGGGGCAGAGGTTTTTCTATTCAGGCAGCAATGAGGAAGTCAATTGATTTGATGGCTCATTATTATCTTCTGGATTCCTGTTAACCTCTCTTCACTCCGCAGGTGCTAATGATCCTCTATCTGTTAGAGCGCGCCGGCGTTTGCACCGGCGTTCGCGCCG